GAGACCTCCCATGACCCAAAGCTCAGTCTATCGCAAGTTATTGCCCACGATATACTGTGAGCGCCGCAGCCGGGACGGATCCCGACATTACTGTTGAGATCCACCCAGCTGCATGAGTGACAGCTGGCTCTGCCTATCTAGAGGCAGAGCGAGCTGTGCCCGCCCCTCCGCCATCCGTTCCTCCAGTCAGCGCTGGAGGATTGGAGCGGGGAGGGGGGAATCCCTGCGGGCAGCGGTGACTGGCAGTCACTGCTGTCTGCAGGGAGACGATCGAGAAGTGAGCGGATCGGCTGCATGTTTATGCTCACTTCTCGATCGATAGAGCCAAGCCAACCTGTGACAGCTTCTTTGTCACAGTTCGGCTCTAACTATGAGGATGAGTGGAAATCTCACCTCAAATATCTCCTTTAAGTAAAGAGAATTCTGTGTGTCCAGAGTCAGTTTAGAAATGCTAAAGTAGCTAAAAAAAACAACACAAAAAAGGTAGGTATATCTAAAAGCAAAAGTAACGCGTTTCTAACTTTTAGCTGAGTAAGGCAGAAATGCATCAGTAATTTGTACAGATGCATGAGGAATAAAATTTGATTTTCTTTGGAAGATCATTGTGTGCCTGTTTAGCAACTTGAGACAATTACTCCAGATGACTGTTATCTGCACACCGCATCTGGATTACAAGGATGCATGCCAGAGGTGAGCTGTGCATTTTGCGTTTTTAGACATCTAAAACCAGGAGAAAGGGATATGGGAAGCATAAGGTTTGTTAAAATGGCTTGTGTTTGAATAACCTAAATGCAGGAGTGCTAGTTTGCATGCAGTCTAAAGTTAGCAGAAAATCCTTGGTGTTCACTGCCAGATACCCGTGTTGCCTATTACAATTGCAGCCCTAAAAGGAGATATATAGTATCTTGAATCCAATCTAATCCTTCTCATTCTAAGCCCTGATGAAGGTGTTGCTGCCCCTGAAACGTGTTAGCCGTTTTGTTTTTTAAATCAAATTGTGAAGACATTTTTGGACTCCCTTCACCTTTTGGTCAGGTGCCCTTTATTTCTGAACATCGAGTCACTTCTGGTCACCCAACAAGGGAAGTCTGTTTGGGAGCTGCCTTGCCAGGGCGCTCATTTGCAAACTCTCCTGCATCTGGATGATTTGAGTGAGCCCAAAAACCTCAGACTCTTAAAAAGGTGTTCCTTTGTATAAATATAAAGCAGTCAGCGGGTCCCAAAGCTTCCCCAATAAAAAGTACCTTTTTCTTAACATAACATTAAAAACCATTTGCTTCAAAGCTCCAGGAGGCTCACCGATTGACATATAGATCACATTCTACCAGTCTTATGGGGGCTACCAGAGCATCCCTCACTTACACAAATGTATCCTATGCCCAGCTATCCACCCTCAGTCCTGTAAAGCCTTTATTTTCAGATCATGTGGCCAATGTCTTGGCATTTGGTCACATGACTTACACTACAGAAAGTAAAGCAGCCATTAAGTTAGTATTTCTGCTCCTCTTATCAAATCATTAAACTCAGCACAAGGTTCAGGTTAGATAATACAACGTACTATTCAGCGGGTCCCTGGACCTGTACTAGGACTTGTCACGATAATAACGTGAACTTGCATTGAACACACACTACTGCTCCCACATAAAGTAAGGCTCGGCTACTCCGGCATTTTTAAAGAGGACCTTTACTAATACCTTTAAAATACCAACAAACACATTTAGAAACGTTTAGTAATGACAAACTACAAACGCATACTTCTAGATAATTGCCGGCTTTGTATTCTTTGCATCCATTATTTCCCTTTTCTTCTGACAGTGGCCATGTTTACTAAGGGCAGATTAGTAGCTCTTTTACTTCCTGGATTTATGGCACATGTGACCATGCACATCATCTCGGGAGGAAAATGCCTTTCTCTGAGATCTCCCGAGATTACAGATGAGATTTCCCAGCAATGCTCTGCTGATGACAAGGCAATCCTAGAGTGCATTGCTGTTCCAAACTGAAGTCATTTCACCCTTTCAAAAGCAGGGAGTGAATGCAAGTGTATTTTATAAATCACAGCATTTTACACCCGACATGTCTATGTTATTATTAAATCATGCATAGAGGAATGCATTGGTAGAGTTTGATTTTTTGAGTGTAAAGGTCCGCTTTAAGCAAATATCTTTAACCAGATTAGAAAACTCATGTATGGAACATTGAGAACAAGGAATATACTTAAATCTGACACCTGTGCCAGGAATTTAGCCTGGAGAAGACGCACCCAGTGTCATTATGTAAAGAACTGTCTGACTAATGGCAGGTCCTGTGATCAGCTTCACAGTCGAGCTGTTTACTGTTCCATACAGAGTAATCCGATTTTTTTGCACAGCAGTATCAGTTTCCCCATTTACCCAGCACTATCCATTACAGCTGAACTTCCAGTCTCAGGGTGGCCATAGCGAGCAATAATTGTAATTACGATGCTGCTTTTGGATCTGTAAAGATAAGCACCATTGTGGAAGTAAAAGAAAAAAAGCATGGTGTGCCACTGCTGGTGTCTTTGGCAATGCTAGTCGCCTGACTGATTCCTATCTAGGGCTGCAACAACTAATCGACATAATCGATTATAATCAAATTCTTTTAAATGCCAGGCCTAGAACAAGCATGCTGTAAATGTCACAATTATGGTTTGTGTTGATGGCACCAGTTTGAGACACTTCTGAGATCATTCAGAATTCATTGATAGGTGCATCTGTCATCCTGATCCGCTTCAAGCAAATGTTGTACTCATACAACCTTAAAAAAAAAAAACCATCCGATGTAAACTCTGCCAATGCTGCACTGAAATCCCAAGCAGGGTTATCCGCCCTGTCCAAGTTCCACTCTAGACTACAGAATGAGGAGATAGTGAGGTGTTCTGTAGTCCTGTCTTTGTGCGAAAACTCTCATTCTCCATAAAGTCTGGCGTAGAGTGCTGTCACCCTAGGACAGGAAGTGCATTACTGGCAGGATAACCAGAAAAACCCCCCCAAAACAAAACCCACACAAACAAAATAAAAGAACTAGAAAAAAGGTTGCCAATAGGAGGATACAGTTTGTTTTTCCTATAGTTCTAGCTTATCTCCACTTGAAGCAAAGTGACAGATAAATGTACCAGGATGCAAGATAAGATTCCTATACTTTTCACCCCTTCTAAAGTTTGCATTGGCACTGCAAGAGAGTGGGCAGACCGCTCAAAGAAAATTTGCTTCTGCTTTTATTTGAACTATATTATAGAGGAAATATAAGAATTCTAGCAGTCTCAGAATTGCTAGGAATCATGGAAGTTAACAGAATTCTCACTGAAGACACATCAAAAAACATATGGCTTCACTTGACGAAACCTAATTTGCATTTAGATCCTGAAGCATGTCTATTCAGGAACCGCTGGATGAAATCAGGAAGCATGCTTGAAATTGTGCAACATTAGACTGTTCTGGCGTGTGTCACTGCCGTCCTGGGATGTCAACAGCAACTCAATTAGGCAGCGTTAAGATATCTAAGAAACACTGCACAAAAACATACAAAAATAGTGATGTTTACATTCGCTGCTTTAGGGCAGAACACTCGACACACTTTGGGGGAGTTTAAAAACTTCTAGCAATAGTTTACGATTGTTAATTAGATTAAGATTCTGCTCACTTCCTTTTCCAGTGATTGCACAGGAAGTGAATGGACACTTCCCTTTTCCACCTCCAAATGCTGTCGCATAAGGGATTGTTAGTCACTGTGTGATAGCAATAAACGCTAAGTGAAGAAAAAAATAAAATAAAAAAAAAACCCTGTTATGTGCATGTGAATAAAAACGTGCTCGTAGGGCATGCACATGGATATAAATGATTGATTAAACCACGCATTGGGTATCGCGTCGCAAATGTCCGCATGAGAGCAATAATTCTAGGACCAATTTTTAATACCATAGTTTTTTGCCATTGCATGCAATTATATTGCTTGCAGGGCATGTGTGCGCAAAAATTAAGACAATGCTCTGGACAGCAAGTGGTAAAAAAAAAAAGAAGAGTGCAAGCTATCCCGACACACGGATTAACTGCTTGTTTTTGTATTGGGACCTGCACAAGACTGGTGCTCACAGCCTCTTCCCCCTCCTGTCCTTTAGATGCCTGCTGACTTCACCCATAGCCCTGCATTATATACAAGGACCCCCAGGAGCACTCCATGAGCAGGTGCGGAGGGGGCAGATAGGCGAGCAGCAACCGCCGTGGCAAAAAAGGTATTGGGTAAGTAAAAGTGCTTTACACCATACCCCTAGACATAAGTAAGCAGTTAAAAGGAGAACTATGAGGTCAGGGCTTTTCCCCATAGTTCTCCTAAGGGTCACGGAAGAACACAAACTAGCGTTCTCCCGTCACCCAAAACTCAGTATACCGCGAGCTACAGCTGGTATACTGAGACGCTGCAGCCGGGACGGATCCCGACAATACTGTCTGGATCCACCCAGCTGCGGGACTGACGCTGACTCTGCCTAACCAGAGGCAGAGCCAGCTGTGCCCGCCCCCTCCCCCATCCGCTTCGCCAGCCAGCGCTGGAGGACAGGGGAGGGCGGGAATCCTTGCAGGAAGCCGTGAGTGATAATCACGGCTCTCTGCAGGGATAGATGGAGAAGTGAGCGAGCGACGGTATGAGTTTGCTCCCTTCCCGATCTACTGAGCCGAACTGTGACAGTTTCTTCGTCACAGGTCGGCTCAGATTATGAGGCTGAGTGAAAATCACAATTCTCTTTTAACCCTTGCAGCAAGCACACTGTCACTTTGACCTCCATGGCTAAGGTGATGGGTCTCTTTAAAAGATTTTATGAATACTTAGCAAAAGTTAGGAAAGATCAGCTGAACTACTGGAAACCACTATCAATCATCCAATAAGCATTCACACCAACCTGAATGAGATTTGGCAAACAACCAGCATAAGGATCTAATACAACGGCCGTCACATCACAATGGTTCCACCCCTACAACTCTCACCTGAGTGCCCGGCTCAGCTTGTCATAATTCATCTGGGGTTTACACTTCCGCCGGCCCCACAGCCTGGCCACTTCATCGGGGTCCTTGATGACAAACTCGCCGTACTCCCCCTGTTGCCAGGCGATGACATGGCGGAACTCCTCCTTCTGCAGCAGCTCCAAGATGAAGTGCCACAGTTGGATCTGACGGGAGCCTGGGCTTGACTCTGCCTTGTATGCCCAGTCGGGGAAGTGATAACCTGAAGATTGTCAAAGAAATCAAATAAATGATAAAAAGAAAAAAAAAAAAAAAAAAAAAAAAAAAGAAAAAAAAAAAAAGAAACAGGACAAATGACTGCAAAAGAAATGATCAGACAGAAAACATGGGAAACTAAAAAGACATTTAAGCAGAACACACAAAGAAAAAAATAAGAAGAAGAGCAGAGATAGATTAGAATTGCCAGCATTAGACGGAAGCACCAACTTACACATAAAAGAACATGGAGACACTGCCTGCAGACAATGCCGTTCCAGCAACAGAAGACTGAAGAGTGTTAAGTACATACAACTGAATTATACACAGAGGTAAGTAGGACATTACGGGTGCACTGTTAGAACACAGAATCCGGATGAGCAAAGCAACAATTTACAGGGGAAAAAAAAAAAAAAACAACAGACAGCTCTCCATGACAAATAGGGATTTCCCACAGATAATTATTTCATCATGGCTACTGATCTGATCTTCATAAATATGGGTCACAGTTCCTCAAGTGTCTGAAGAATGCACAGTTCCCGGTACTCAGAGCAGCTAGATGTACCCTTTCATACTCCCACAATGCACAGGGAGAAAGAATGAACCTTGATTGCTTGCTATGGGAAGAAGGAACCACATTCCCCGGTGCAGCTTTGGTAAACCAGCTCGGATTTGGAAAAATGAATCAAATTTCTAGACTTCAAGTTGGTAGAAGGGAACACCCAGTTGCAAACAGAATGCAAAGTTAGCCTATCACACCACTGCTAGATGGAAGGGGTTTAGACCCCAAGTACTGTATGGCCTCATTCACACGAGAAGCCGCCATGCACAGCTCCATGCACGGCCGTATCGGGCAGCGTCCGTACTCGTACACTGTCAGGATGGATCCCGTCTGCGTCCAAGCCGGGACATCTGCACCCATACGGACCTGCACTTGGGGTGAGCGTAGGGTGGCGTACTCCCATAGAGAAGTACAGGGGCTGCGTACTAACCACACGCAGCACCTGTCCTTCCCGGGAGCTGCCCAATACGGCTGTGCACGCCACACAGAGCTGTACGCGCCGGCTTTTTCTCAGGTGAATGAGGCCTATATGTAACAAATCCCAACAACCCCAATTCCCATAAGGAAATAGGCGAGTTAAATTGCAGGAGCCCTCATCAACATTGGTCACAGAGTTTAGAAGACTGAATTGGTATAGGTGGTAGAATAAGACATCTGAAGTCTGGTTCAGATTCTGGCATAGTTCTGCCCAATGTCTGTATCTCATAAAACATTAGTTAAGACTCATCTATGTATCGACCATGTGACCTGTGATGTCACCTGATGGGACAGGAAGCAAAACGTTACTGTTCAGCAATGGCCTCCTACAGCGTCTCATAAAATTTGGCAGCCTATGGTCAGTATCTCGGACAGTCATTTCTATAGCATGACAAAACATTTTTTTCCCAACCTGGAATGGCAGCAGAAAGTTCTAGGTAGGTTTGCCAATACAAGCTCTGCCTAGGCTAGGACTGTTGTCATTGGAACAAGTCTACACAAACGGACCCATTCAGACCATTCAGCAACGGACGGAACCCGGAAGAAAGATGCCGGCATCGGCCGGAGGACACAGCGTGGCTCGTAGGCAGAAGGTAAGTGAAGCGCTGTGTAATCGAGTGTGGCTCGGGGTTACCGCTTTTGGTACTGAAAACAACATCAAGTCACTCGGGAATAACGCCAAGAAGGTTAATAGTGACTAGCTATGCAGAATCTATCAAAAAAGACCCTTCTGAAAAACAAGCAAGCTTGCATCAAGCCAACTTGCTCATATAGGAGGGTGTACTACATTACACACAGACAATAGGGAAAACCTTGAAAACCCATCCCGACCATTAGACCCTCCAAGGTTGTGGAGGTGCCAACATACATATGAATGTTTCCCAAGCCAAAAAAAAGGCTGTTGGAAGGAACTTTCATCATTCAAGTTTTTATAAAAGGCGAGCAACCCCTTTAAGATCAGTTAATCTGTCACAGCCAGTTTCATGTGACAGAATAGGATGACTGGATACTTCAATTGTGTAGCTTCAGTAATGACTCACTGATTTTTTTTGTTAAATGAAATTACATTTGTGGTCTCAGACACAAATGAAAGTGCTATCACCAACACCAGGCCACACCATCAAAGACATCGTAACAGAGCACAGGAGACGAATGTGCAAAAAAAACTGGAAAAAGCAGCTTCAACGAAAGCAAAGAGGCAACGTGTAGAAAAAACCAGCAAGAAAAGGACATAAATACGAAAGCGGAGGAGGAATGCAGGTACACACGTTTGCAGTTAAATTGGAAGCTGTGTTATGATCACATTAAATAAAATTCATAACCCTTCCTGTAAAGCCCATTTCAACTAAATGAAAAATCTAGACTAGGCTAAACACTTCTGTGGAGTCCTGGGTCAATAGGAGACCTGTGTAAAACCTAGATTTTGGAAGAAATCCCAGGAAAAAGTTGGGCTGCACATTGAGGTCATCACTGGATTAGAAGACTTTATTCAAGCGCCACACAATTTCACTTTAGCTCACTCGGACGCATTCAACTCTGTATGGCTTGAATACATTGGTTTTTAACCCAGTGATAACTGGTGTGCAGCCCAACTTTTTCCCTGGACTGTGTCAGAGCAAAGGAGTGCACCCCAGTGTTGGGCTTTCTTTTGTATGACCACTGGAGGCCATGATGGAGCTCTGAGATGCTGATGCTATAATATGTAAGGTGTATTTTCTTCAACCTACAACATCTGTCACAAGAGTATTATGGAACTGGCCACTGTCCAACTTCTGGAAATACTAGTTGCATGGAGAACTTAGCATTAATATGCTCCATATTTCTTTCATGATGGGTGTACTTAACCCTCATCCTAAAAACTGAACCCAAAGTTTAACCTAAAGCCCAAATACCTAAGATCCTAAGATGCAGAAAGCATCTTGTTCTGGGTCAGCGACTCCAAGTATTGAAACCACAGCCAGGAACTTGCAGCCTATGTATAGCTCAGCGTATGGTTTCATTCATACCAGGGGTAGCACACCTGCGGCCCTCCAGCTGTGGTGAAACTACAAATCCCATGATGCATCCCTCTTCGGGAGTCATGTCTGTGAGAATCTTGCAATGCCTCATGGGATTTGTAGTTCCACCACAGCTGGAGGGCCGGAGGTTTGCGACCCCTGATTTATACACCAGTGCTGCATCCAAGAGTATTAAACAACAGTAACAAAGCCAAGGTTAAAACATACAGAAATGTAAAAACAAATTCAAAAAACACGTTTTTTTTTTTCACAAGGCACCTGCAGCCCTGAGCTTCTTTTTAATGGACATAATTGCAGGCTATTTTACGGAGGTCACAACATCTGCGGGCGTTCTGCAGATAAGCCAGTAAACAGCACAGTGCGGGTAAGTCAAACTAGTAAACAGTATATAAATTACAAACATGAACCCTAACCTATTCTTTACTACATGACAGGAGAGTAAGTAACTTACCACCCCCTCCTTTAGGCTTTTCAACAATACTGCAACCAGTTTTCATTGTTCCTCTTCCTGCTGACTGTAAAGCAAAAAAAGGGAATAATGATTATAAAACAAACACAAAAACAAAAGAAAAAACAGACAGACAAATCCATTAAACTAAATTAGGAAGTGATATAATCAAACTACTTTAGAACTACTTATCAAAAAGACATTTTTCACTTTTTATTGGGCCTTGATATCGGTACACGCCTTATATTGGGGATGCTCACTGGTCTATTATATGCCTTACATTACTCACTTAAAAATGTTCATACACTTTGTTGTTGTATTTTTCTTACATTTGTCAATAAAAATTATGGAATTTCAAAAAAGAAAAGTATCCATGCATAATTTTATAGATGTTCCCTAAAATCAGGCAGTAATATTATGGACACCTGAAAAAAAAACCCCTCCGGATGTAAACAAAGGAAGAGAAGACTCGATACAGAATGATCATGTGACTGCAGTTTTAGGGGCCCTTACACCACATCATCTCCAGACCAGATTGTTTCTGGATTCAAAATGCATTATAATATATCCCTATGCTATTTCTGGCCTCTGTTGACACCAGCGCAGTCCGTTCCAGACCAGACAAATACTGCACGTCTCATTTTGTCTGGTCTGGAAAACACTGGAAATGCAGGCAGATCACACCATTTTCCAGACCAGATCTGGTCCAGAAAATGGTGTGAACCTGCCCTTAGCTAATTTTTTGCTCCAGTAATCAGTGTGCGTTTAACAGGCTTTAAAAACTGCCCATAGCAAATACTCTTATTCAAGTGTGTAGGGCAGAATAACCGGTTCCTAAGGTACTAAGAACAGTCATTTTATTCAAACTTGGATGGCTTTTGTACTCCAAATCATCTTATCAACATAGTAAAAGGCAGCCTGGCTGAGTTCAAGACATTTTACTGCCATTATATTTCTAGATTAATCTCATATCTTCATACACTTCCTGACCTTACTGGAAAAAAACAAAACCACTAGAACATATGGAAAATGTATCAAAGTTGGGAAAGATCTATGAAGAGTTGAAACAAAACACACACAAGTTCAGCGCTCGAGCCCCACTACAGGTGAGAAATACTGGAGAGATCTGTGGGTGACCCCTTTGTCTCGCAAACAAAAGGAAATGGCTTACGCATTTCCTTCCTTGCGGTCGTAGCTGCAGAAAGCATTGTGCCGTTCACCCTCACCCCCCTACTAGTCAAGCCATGATCTCACAGCTATCCTCTTCCAGAATGACCCATCACTGGGAGAGAAGAAATGCTGGAAGCAAATATAAACTTTGCGCTAATAGCTGTGAATCAAGAGGCATACACGAACGCAAAAGGTTTCTTTTTTACGAAGCTATATTTGTTTGCAATATATCATTACTAGCTGCCATGCCATATACCAAATCGGTGACCCACCACGTATTACAGAACTTGCCAAGATCCATTTCATTAATTCCACACTGGAGTTCAGAACTAAGCACTAAGAACTTTTAGTGCCCAGGTTCAAACACCTCCAAGAATACCATCTATAGGAAGGTGTACATTTTCTCTACATCGGCATGGGTTCATGGAGCAGGCACCTCCAACTGTCTGCTTAAATCCTATAGATTTCATTAGTGTCTGGGTGTCCTCAAAACCCAGGGAGAATAGAATTCAAATAATTACCAAAGTTTCCGTGATAGAGCTCTGGTCCACCCAATTCCATCGCTACAACCTCCTACTGGCCAGCGAGTTTGGCCATAGCTCTCAAAAGGCAAATAGAAAGGCACAGCAGTCAGGAGGATGGTCAGCCGTGAAGTATGGAACCAACAGATGACATGGCCTAGGAAGCTCTGGAGGTATTCCATGACAAGACCATTAGTCAAATCTGCTTTAAAAAGATAACTAAAGCCAAAAAACTTTTTTTGGCGATTATACTCCTTTTGACCCAAAAGAGAACCATTTACTAAATGTACTCCTTTGACCCAAGCGCGGCATATAGCAGGCTACTGCCGGCTATTTGCTGACAACGTAGAGCCATGCTGCAACTGGGAAAGATCCTGAAAATATTGTATACATCCACCCCACTGCCTAAATGACAACTGGCTCTGCCTCTCTAGAGCCAGAGCCAGCTAGGGGGGGAATCCCTGTGGGGAGCGGTGTGTCACTACTCTGTAGTGAGAAGTGTGAGCTGAGTAATCAGTCGTTTGTGTTTGCTCAGCAGTCAATCTATAAAGCCTGCATGTGACTTCTGCAGTGTCACACGCTGACTCAAGCTATTGGGAAAGGTACATTTAACTCGCCCAACAGTTCTTCAAGGACACCCAGTATCTGACATTCACATAGTGTCGGATATTGAAGAATCTTTAGCCAGCAGTATTTTGTGAACACAGAAAAGATTGCTGGAGAAGGGCGGTAGGTTTTAAAGAGACTTCATTTCCATACAGCATTTCTATTTTTAAAACGGGATTGCCTTATAAGAGGGCGGGACAGGAGATCCTTTTAAACTCTCGTCAACTCTAGCCTCATATTATATACGAGGGTCAATCAGAAAGTCTGGAATTTGAGGTCTTTTAGGGCAGTGGTTCTCAACCCGTATAACCTCAGGACCCACATTTGTCCTTGGTCATTAAGTCATGACCCAAGTGGTACGGCAATGGAACGCACGGCATTGCGGTACTGTGCGTTCCGATTGCAGGGCAATAGACCTGCGGGTGGGAGGTGCATTTGGGGTGCCATAGAAATAAATGGCAATGCACTTCACACCAAAATGCGTGGTAGGTGCGATTGCGAAGTACAGTGTGTTAATCTCACGGGACTGTGCGATTAACGCACTGTACTAGTGTGAAAGGGCCCTCAAAAACACACAACCACAGACACTCTCACACACACTCCCAAAAAATATTTTTTGTTCTTTAACCAGTTGACATCCGCGGTGTTAAACCCCCTTCCCATCCAGGCCATTTTTCAGTATTCAGCGCTGCGGTACTTTGACTGACATTTATTCCGTCATGCAGCGCTGTACTGAAATGAATTTTATACCCTTTTTTGGGGACAGATAGAGCTTTCTTTTGGTGGTATTTATTCACCACTGGGGTTTTTATTTTTTTATATATGAAGGAAAAATTACAGATTTTTTTAAAAAAAAAACAGTTTCCCCTATATTAAATTCTAAAACATTTATAATTTCCCAATTTTTTGGTAAAATATAAAAGACGGGGTCTAGTCGGGTAAAGAGACACTAAACATGTCAAGCCTTAACCACCCAGTCTCCCTACCTTATGAGAACCGGAGTGGATCCTTGGCCTGGGGTCCGGTGTGGGCTGCTGTGGTGTAGCTCCATCCTTATGTGCATTGCTTGTACAGCGCCCTTGCACGCCCTGTAGAGGTGCAGAGAGCCAGAATGTTACATCACACCGGTCCAGGCACCTCTACAGGACATGCGAGGGAGCTGTAAGCAATGCACATATGGATGGAACCCACCCCACCTCAAGCTGACACTCGCGCCGGGCAGCATATTTTGAAAGACTGCCTGGTGCATGAACTGACACTGTTGCGCTAGGGGGAGACTGAGGAGCCTCTCAAATAGAAAAGTGGAAGGCACATGGGGACCCACTGAACACAGGGTCGTGACCCATTTTTGGGTCTCGACCCACCAGTTGAGAACCAAGGTTTTAGAGTGACTGTGAATGTTCATGTACCATGTTATAGAGGTGTCCTTACCCCACGAATGTATGCTTTTCTTTTTTATCTCCAGCCAAAACAACGAGCTGTAATTGAATTTCTGGTGAAAGAAATTCCATTACAGGAACTCCATAAATCGGCTAAAGTATGTTTATGGGGACGCTGTGCATTAGCAATGTGCGGCGTTGGGTAAAGATTTAAGCTAGGTTCACACCTGCACTACACCGTGGGACACGCGTCCTGGGTGTGGTGCGGTCCTGCATAATGCAGACAGCGATTGCTGCGCGGCCTCATTGATTTCATTGGGGTGACATCCGCGTGGCAATATGCAGAAAAAAAAAGGTACAAGTACCTTCTTTTTGTGATACACGACGCGCGACTGTTTTAGTGTTTGTGTTCGGAAGCATGGGCGGAATGGCGGCAGGAAACCTAGCCTCAAGAAGGAGGAATCAAAAATCCACTACAGCATCCCCATACACAATTCTTGAGCTTCATTGATGTATTTCGGGATTTGTAGTTTCAGCACAGAGCGGGAGAACCAGAGTTTGCCCACCCAGGTCTAGAGTAACCATAGACCAGACAGGTTAAAAAAAACAAAAAAAAAAAAAAAACACATCCCAATTGCAATCAAGAGCATGGCAGACACTGCTGTAGCTACACACCACTACCACCCCTTCCCAAATTCACATAACCCACTAGGATGGGAAAGGCAATGTAGGGTTTATGGAGCATCCTGAATCATTTTGAAGAAATACTGGCTGAAAAGTGGTTGTGAACTTCCTCTATCGTCTAGAGAGGAAGCCGTCCCTGATTCAAAGAATTTAGTCAATCTCAAATCACACCACCATGAGAGCAGAACCTCAGCTAAAGAGTTCATGCTGTATACATGCCAAGATTGCCACATTTCCTTCTCTTCGCTGAGATAAAACTCTGGAACTCATTCACGCCAACACTTTCCAACAAGTTAGATCACTGCATGCTGTTAACATTTGTGTTGTTACCTCTACGAGGCCTAAAGGTCAACTGGATGCATCGCATGCTAAACATTAGGGTCCCTAAAGCTGGATATACACTGGCAGATTTCTGTATGAACGAACACATAAAATTATTCTCAGAACATTTGACAATCTACTTGTCCCAATACAAAAAAAATAGTTATCAAAACTAGGGATGCACCAATAACGGATAATTGCTTTCGGTACTTGCCGATACCGGTGCTTCGGCTGGCATGGAGCAGGCTTCCCAAGGCAACCAGGAAGCCGGGCAGTGTGTAATTACATGCCACCCAACTTCCTGATTTCCAGGGAAGCCAACTCCATGTCGACTCCAAGTACTTGCCGAAATACTCTGCATCGGTGCATCCCTAATCAAAACTCTA